AAAAAAAAAAAAAAAAACCAAAAACAACGGGAATTAAAAAACAAAAAAAAAAAAAAAAAAAAAAAAAAAGAAAACACAACCCACCCTGTTCCAGGCTGTTGCCTGAGCAGTTCTGCACAAAGCATCTCTATCATTTGGTATCTGCGCCAGCATTATGTTGTAAAAAACACCCTTGTGCTAGCCAGCTTGCATAAAGCATTTGGCTTCCCTCCATGAAGACCTCCACCCACATTTATTCAATAGCACTAACTGGCAGTGTGATGAAACGTTTGACTTGTATTTTTTTCCTTTGCTGAAATCTCTCACTGCAAGTAAACTTAAAAGAAATAGGCTTTATTTCAGATTTTAGACCTTGGAGCCAAACCTACGTTCAAACTCTTCTTTTACATATTTGCTCTCTGGCTTTGTGTCTGTTTTCTTACCAAAGAAATGTCTATGATAGTTCCCTGCCTCCCAGAAGATTGTGGGACCTGTGCTTGGTGTGTTCAAGTCCAACACTACCTAAAAATACTTTAGTGTTGGCCTTACACTAGCTTTATAAGACCATCGATGCAGTGTTTGAAGGACAAGTGTCATAGACTGGAACAGGGCACTTACCCTGAATAAGGGATGCACAGGCAATTTGTGGCTAGCCCATTTTTTCAGTTGCTGCCACCCCAACAAGGCTTTATGATCAGCCTCCAATCTTCTCTGCATATGTTATCTTCATTTATTCCCTGCTGTTCATACAGAGGTCAGGACGGTGATGTGCTTGGTTAAATGCATTCACACGCAGGTGCCATATAGACACATCAGGTCAGAATTAAGTGGGGGCCAGGGTTAATCTACTTTGATTAGCTGTTGCTCCAGTTGAGTTGCTATCATTAATTTTGTACACTCCTTTCTGCGTGCGGGCTAACTTAGCAATTAGCACAGAATTTCTCTTGGTGTGGCTGCAAAATGCCAGTCTGGAATTATTAATCTGGGCATGAAGCCAAAAGTGGAATGCTTTAATGTGGCAAAAAATTCCCAATGGTTCAAAATTCTTTACAGCTCATAAACCACACAGAGATAAAAAGGTGGTGAGGAAGAGGAGAGAAAGAGATGGCCACAAGCACATGGCTTGGGCATGTTGATGGATTGGGCTAAACCCTTAGCTGTCAGTAGGGCTGTGCCAGTTGGTAGCAGCAAAGCAAGGAATTGTGCCTGTGTGTTGGGTGAAAGGAGGCTGTGGTCTCCCACCTCTTCCCTTTCCTTCCCCTGGTATGATTTAGATGAAACTCTCACTGCCTAGAAATTGTCTTCCTACTCCTGTGCTTCAGTTTTCCTTTTTATTTCTCTTCTTCCCAAGTCTCCTCTCAGTTCCTGGGTGCCCTTGCGTTGGGCTGGACCTGCACAGCCCTGGTGTGCACCCCCATGGAGCAACACCAAGCACCGTTCCTTCCCCCGGGCTCCCTCTCTGCTCTTTCCACCCGTGTGTCCCATGCAGCCCTTTTTGCCGAGGGTTTTTGCTGCTAGTCATCCGAGGACAGGCTGCCTGCTTTTCTGCTTTTCTCCTCAGGAAGCTGGGGAACAATTCAGCCAGGAGGCCAGAGGGAGATCAAAGGTCACTTCAGACTTCCAGGCAGAAGGGTTGGTTTGCAGCTCGCTTTCTTTTTTTTTTATTTAAACTTTGGGTAGTGTCATTGAAGGAATTAAAATTCAAATTAAGTTTGTACTTTCATTCTTTTATTTGTGTGTACAGTATTTTTCCTCCCTTAATTGCTGGGATTTTGCAACCTTGAAAGAGGGGTTTTTGTCTTGGGTTGTGGGGATTTTTTTCCTGCCAGGAAAATTTTGATGTTGCAACATGGAAAACACAAGGCTTTGAATACTTGCCCTTTGTTAGAGAAAGAGCTCCTTTAAGGGCTCGCATCTTTATTCTGTTTCTTGATGTGGAAGCCTTTCTTCTGAAGGCCCCTCTTTTCTTTTTCCTTAAAGAAAGGGCAAGAATTCAAGTACTTGGGTTTTCCATGTTATAACATCTGTGTATTTAGTTAGGGCACAGAAGAAGGGCTCATAAAAGCCCCAGTGTTTCCCAGTCCTGTGTTTTTCCCTGAGGAAAGCTCTCATGGTGGGGGCAGTGTGGCTGTATCTGAGAAGAAGCAGAAGCATCAGAGTGACCAAGTGAAGCATCTGCTTCGCCTTGTGCACAGCATGGGCACCTCATACCTCTTCAGGGTGACTTGGGGTGTGGGAATACAGAATATAAGCCCTGGCCCCTGCACCCCATCTGCTCAGCGCCCAGAATACCAGTTCCTCGGCTGAAGCCAGTGTCTGATGGGGGCTGCCCTCTCCCACCACACTGCTGATGGAAGGAAGATGAAGACTGTGGGAATGGCTCTCCTCAGCCATCTCCTCTTTGGTTTGACTTGTCAGTTCAAGTTGAGTTTTCCCTTGAGCTTAGCTGCCAAGCTGCAGGGTAGCTGGGGATGGAGTTTCTCTCTGGCCTCACCTTTTGAAAGCAGAGCTGCAGTGCCAAGAGGGAAGCAAGACTTTGAGAGAGAAGTGCCAAGAGGAGTCTGGCTCTGTAATCCGTGATGGCAGCGCTCCCCTGACAGTGCCATGTTCCCAGTTGTGCTCTTTGCTCCAGGGACTTTTCTGTATTTCACATTAAAAAGTCGCTGAAGAAGCAGAAAACACCTGGGGTCAGGCTGCTTTGTGCTGCTCCTCTCCCTGGTGCTGTGAACCCAGGTTCTTATCTGCCTGCTGACCCATCCAGCTTCTTAAAGGCTTGCACGTGTGCCGGGTGTATGTAGCCAAAGGGATTTCACTGGAGACTGCTTGCAAAAATCAAATTGTACATATTGAGTTCACCTTTCCGAGCATGAGATCACGGTAGGCACAAACAACTTTGTCCTGTCCCTGAGCTCCGTGGTGTGCAGCCACTCTTCTGGATGCTGTAAGGCAAGGTGCTCCAAGAGCCGCCTGGAGCTGCTTTCAGGACTGGCTGCGGCAATGTGCAGTCACTGCTTGGAACGGGCCATCGGTGTCTGATTCGAGCAGTGAAACCCAAGCACTGAAGGACAGAAAATGGGTTTAACCTGCCTGTCTGGTCATCTTTGGCCCCTTAGGTGCCATGGACAGTGGAGAAACTCTCTTGAGTTGATCTATACACCTAGCTGCTCAGCAGTGTAAAGATAAAGACGTAGGAGGGCGTTTTGCCTAGGTATGAAAAGAGAAGAGGTACTCACCTTTACAGCCAGATCTGAGCTCTCTGAAGGCTGGGAAGGCTGTGTTTGAATCTGAACTGAATCCAGCCCAGGCTCTAGAAGAAGCAATGCTGTGACTTAGATTTCATAGTACGTCTCTGGCCGTGGCTTAGATTTACATGCCTGTGTCTCTGGATGGGCACTCGCAGCACTGTCGGTTGCAGAGACATTGCCACATAAAATACCTGGAAGTACCAAGTGCTTCTGTTTTGGGCCACAAATTCCTGTGTATTCCTGGGCTCCTGTGCCTGCTCAGAAGTGCTCTCTAAGCAGCCGCATTCTTGCCTAACCCATCAATATTCACAGGAAAATGGTGTGCAGAGCACTAAGGGGGCAGGATTCAGTTAGCAAGGAGTTCATCACAACAGTTGGGGTCACATCCACTGGAAAGTGGAAAAGGGGATCTCTTTGCCGAGCAGCCTCTTACCTGCAAAGCAAGAGACGTCCCTGCTGGGCTCTCTCAGCCTAATTGCTCTTAGTTTAGTCTCCAGCTGATTGCGTGATAGCTCTGTAAAACGGCTTTGCCCTCTTTGGATGTCTGTTCCTACATCAGACATATTCCTTGGCTTCTCTCTCCTCTCTTTTCACCCAAACACTCCTTAACACTCCTTCTTGCTGCTTCCTCGGTCGAGTTTGTGGGAACTTCACCAAGTTTGCTGTTGGAAGTCCCTCACCACGTGCTGTGCAGCCTGTGAATCTGATTTCAGTTCTTGGAAGAATGAGGTAGGGGAAACCCACTGTGCTTTGGTCCAGCCTTGTTTCCACATTGGCTTTTATGCGCTGCCAGTGGGGCAACTGCCAGTAAGAGGCAATTGCTGGTTTTAAAGTGTACCAGGGGAGGAGGGAGCTCACAGTTCTTCTCTGTCTGCAGAAATGGGGATTTTGAAAGAAGATGAATGCTGGCTAACATCCTAAATCTCCTGACCCCTTTGGGAAGCCAGTCAAAGCACCATCCCAGTTTCACCTTCTCAAGGTTTCTCCTTGCTACTTTCCCATTTCTGTAGATAAGAGTCTTCTTGAAGCTCTTATGCCACAAGAAGCAAAGCTGCTTGCATCTGTCCCTTTTTTGGTGCTGATGCTTTCCAGGATGTGGTCCCGTCCTGCCTACGAAGGATCCAGATCGCACAGATTGTTTACAATTCGTGTAGCACAGAACTGCTAGGATGGGGGGGAGGAGGCGGTGTCTTTAAAAGCACTTTTAAAGTTAAAACAAAGACTTTCTCTGGCCAACCACATGATGCTTAATTTTGCATAAATAACCTTAACCTTCACTGCTGCGTGTCTTACTTGCATTTCCAAAGTGCTGTTTTAAATGCTGCCTGGACTTGCTCGCCTTTCTATGAACACTGCAAGTGAATTCCCTTTAAATAGCAGCTGCTGACACAGCAGCTTTGCCTGTGTTTAGCATGATGCTGTGGCCAAGATCCAGACAAAATAGGAGCGGCAGGAGTGCAGCCCTGTGCTGTCCCTTGGGTATCCCCACAGAACCCCAGGGCTCATCCCCTGCCCTCTCGCAGGGGATGGAAAGTTTTGGAGGGGCAGCAGCTGGGGATGGGCTGATGGGTGCAAAAGCAGAGCTGGAATGCTCCTCATGTGTTTCATGGGAGGTTTGCAAATGTGCCAGAGCAAGGGGAAGTCCCTAAGCAAATTACCATGCAGGATACAGCACATCCATCTCCACCTTGCCCACAGCTTGTGCTCGGGCACCTGAGGGAGGGCTGGAGAGCCCGGCCCCCTGCAAGAAGCTGTCCCACTCCACCACAAGTTGGGTTTGTGTGTTGGAGAGGGGGAGGGAGTGTGTGTTTGTGCGTGTCTGTTGGTTGTCAGCTCTCAGCCCTGCCCTGACATTGCGTCCAGCTGGTGCAGGAGTCAGATGAGGGCAGCCCAACCTCTCCTTACAGGTTGGGTGGGTAGGAAGGATTAATTTCCTCTTCCGTCCTAGCCACGTGGTCCTGGCCTTATTCCATGGTAGCAATTCTGCCCAGGGCATAGAAATTCACCAGCACATGCAGTGTCTCTGGGTTGTTTGTCTTTTTTCTTTTTCTTCTTTTTTGTACAGTCCTTAAGAATAGCCTGGGTGCCTTTGAGCTGAGACCCTTGTTTCCTAGATTTAGAGGACAGAGGCAGGGTAAAAGACTATGAAAAGGCACCCGTGACTTTCCAGCAAGCTCCAGCTACTCAGCAAACAAGCCTAAATCTCAGGGTCTCTGCAAGAGCCTAGAAGCTCTTTTCACCTTAAAGGCTCCTGGAAACAGGCATTCAAGACCAGCTAGGACAGGTGAACGAATGAGGCTGAAGGCTTTAAAGGGCCTGCCATCACCAAGTAAGGTCTCCAGGTCCTCCAGCATACCTGCCTTTCCTCCAGGCCTGTAGTGAAGGTGGGGGCTGGCTCGTGGGGTGCGCTGTGACATGCAGCATGTCTGCCTGTGGCCACCCATGCTGATTCAGCAAGTAGCACCAGCAGCAAAGTGGGCTTTATCCTAGCCCCATCTGGAAATCGGGGCAGCCTGAGTACTTACCCCTACAGGGAACATCTTGCTAGGACTGTAGGCCTGCTCAGACTAGAAAAACTCATATCAAGCCATGCTGTCAGCAGTACGCTCCTGCCACAGTCTCCATCCACCGGTGCCCTGGGCTTTCCCCATGACTCGTGGGCAGCAGATGCTAACGCTGTGGCTGTACAGCGGAGGCAGAAACAGTTTTCCCACCCAGCATAATTGACTGGGATGTGAAAATGTTCCCAGTCATCATAAAGGTCCCATGTTTGCCTCTGGGATACAACAATGCACTAGGACTATTACTTCTGAGCAACCGATGCATTTTGAGCTCACACCACATTTGTACTGGCATAGCTTAAACTGATGAACTCCTCTTGTACCCTCCTCCTGCCAGTCAAAGTCCTGGCAGTGTACGAAGCTGGGGCCCAAGAATTGGCATTGATGATGTGCATTAGTGTGTGGTGTTTACCCAGAAGGCTGGCGTAGTTTGCTCCTCATGTGGTCCATGATGTGGCTGATGGGACCCCCTGCGAGGCAGAATGATGGAGAACGAGTGGGTTATGGTCACATTAGAGAGGCGGTTAATCTAGTGGGGAACAGCATCTCAGTTGCTGCCACAACTAGGGTGTTTTAGGGGATTTGAGGATAGATCTAGGCATTGTCAATGCACAGAAACACAATTGCTGTATAGGATATGCAAATCACTTAAACCTTTTCCACCTGTTTTAACTAGCTACTCAATATCAGAACACCACTTGGAACTAGTTAAGGGGAGCTCCTCAAGGCTGTACCGTCTTGCTCTGAAAGCACATAATTGTGTAGAAATAATATCCAGGCATTGAGAAAAGGAAAATGCTTGTAGCTATTACTCTGGGTTGTCTCCCAGCTCTGCTTCCCCCTGCAGTTTGTAGATTGTCCCTGACATTTAAACTGGCATTTACTTACTCTTCCAGTCTTGGGTTTTTCCATGCAGGGAACAGAGAGAGCTGGAAGATGGAGGGCTGCAAAATCCTTTGAGCAATATCTTGCCAGAGGAGCAACTCCCCAGGTTCAGTGGTCAGTATTTGATACTGGAAAAGGAAAGTAAAATCCATGTAGTCTTCTGCCCCTCCATCCGCTCCCATTGTAGGCACACGGTGATGAGTGGGGTCTGGGAATTTTTTTTGCTTTGTCACAAGAAGCCACCTTGTCCATCCAACTTGCTTTCATCAGATCTTGCAGCCTTTGAGAGGACCAAGCCCAGCGGAGGCAGAAGGACCATGTAGGACACATAGCGGTGACAGCAGCCGCAGGTCCTCACCGTAACGAAAAACCTTCGTCTCTTCTTTCCTAGTTCTCGATACTGCAGGCCAAGAGGAGTTCAGCGCAATGCGGGAGCAGTACATGAGGACCGGAGATGGTTTCCTTATAGTCTACTCGGTGACAGACAAGGCTAGCTTCGAGCACGTGGACCGGTTCCACCAGCTGATCCTCAGAGTCAAGGACAGGTGGGTGCCGTGGAGCCAGGCGCTGCCTGACCCCCCTCCCGCCGCTCTGGAGACCGTGCCGTGAGGGCGGTTGCATGTCTCACCCTGCCTTTTGCCTCCCAGGTGTCCCGGGGCAAATTCGTGCATGCTCTGTGTGGGTTTATAGACCTACATATGAGGAAAAAGAAGTATTTTACCTTTCTGATAAGCATCTAGTGCTTTCAGCGTGGAAAATTTCAGTAGTGTTACGATGGAGTGAAAATGGTTCTGGAAGGCAGAAACTCCAGCCAGAACAGTCTGGCAGAGCAGTGTGAGAAAGGCAGACACCTTTGAAGGTAACCCGTTTGGCTCTGAAGAGGGAGAAGGATGCTCTGTGCACAGTGCAGGCACTTTCGGAACACCAGCAGGGAGTCAGCAAGTGTTCGTTCGGCCCTAATCCTTTTGTGTGTCCTGTCAGCATCCTCCTTTCCCTGACTTCAGTTTGGGCAAAACAAGCCTTCAAAGGTCCTGCATGATATGGGGCTATGAACAAGTGTCTTGAAGGGGAAAACACCTCACGTCAGGAGGAACTGTATTTCTTACAAGGGGTGTAATGCAGTTAATGCATCGTGCTCTGCAGCAACCACTTTCAATGAATAAAACATCTCAGCGTGACTGGGGAGAAAGCAAGACAGGTTGCCCGCTCCCCACCTTGTGCATGCGTAGGAGAAGGTAGCACTGAGGGTTTAATCGTGGTAAGAAAATATGTCCTGACAGAGGGAGGGGAAGCTGCCAGGATTTTATCTCCGAGATAACTCCCTCTTCCCATCCCAGTTCAAGAGGTGATGAATCCGTCCTCATTGGGTGGGGTGTGAATCAAGCCCTTATATGTTTGCAGCTTTGAAACACTTAGTTTTTCCATTCATAATGGCTTTTAATTATGGAAGTCATCAAGAAAAGCCACCAGAGGGTTCGGGCCTCGTTGCTGGCTTCCTTTCGCAGCTCTGAATAACTTCCCCACAGGAAGGGTGGACTCATATCATGTGAGGTTCACAGCTGACAGCTCTTCCAGTAAAGCATCCAAAGCAGAGCCCACAAGAGTGAAAAGTAAAGGAAAAACCACCCTTTGATTTCATCTAAATGAAGAGAAATGTCAGTCACTCAGTCTGCTTCCCAGATCATGACAGTCTTTTCTTCACTGCCAGCTCAGCTTGGGGCAAATTAAATCTGTTTCTGAAAGCTGAAGAAGAAGGTACAGCGTTTCCTGTAACCTGCCCCAAACTGATGTCAGTTTTATCTAATTTAACTTCGTGAAAATAAGGTGTGGTATTCATTGTTTTGCTCTGGACTGAAACTTCTACCCCTCCGTATGCTGTGCAAACACGGCGGCAAGCATGTGAGAAGCAGGAAACGAAACAGGCTGGTGAGCTTGTTTGTGTTTCCCCGCTCAACGCCACCGGAGCGCAGAGCCCGGGGAGCTTAACGCTTCATCCAAAACCTGAGCACCTTCACAAAATTGCAGCAATAGGAGCAGCGCGAGTAAAGAAACCATCCTGCCAGACCCACAGGTAGCTGGGAGCAGAGCATCGCCCTGGTTTTCAAGCTAGCAGTCAGTTTTGGCAGCTTAAAATCCAAAGGAATTGCAGGCTGCCGCATTAGCAGAGCTGTTCAAAGCCTTCCTCCTGTTTCTTTCCATAATCTTCATTACAGTAAAACTTCCAACCATAGTAGCTTTGTCCAGCTAGCAATCGTACGGTTTACAACGGGGAACAAAGTCCCCATAGAGTTTTATGTCTGATGTAAACAAGGCAAATGAGATACTGTCCAAGTGCAGTCCCTTTCTTATCAATGTGCTGCAAGCCAAAAAGGAATCAAATAATCCAGACAAGCAAGTGTTTTGCACCAGAATGATCAGAGTCAAGATATATCAATGCTCAGGTATTAAAATTAAATCAAAGCCACATTATCAGAATGAACAACTCTAAGACTCATTTAAAATGCAGAGTGCAGTACAGTGTTTTTCCAGCCAGAGCAGTGGGGCAACGTGCCAGAGAGAAGATGGAGCCCTTATCGTCGTGATGAAAAATGATACAGAAACGCTGTCTGAAAATCCAGAGCTACTCAGGGAAGTGTTTTATGCAGAAATGAGTATGGCTAGCTGCTCCTTAGCCCCATAAAATCAACCCTGTTACAGCAGAGAACATTGGAATCATTTTAGGAGGGTTTAAAGTTAAATACAAGAAAATAATACTGCAATAATTGTCATTTATCAGAAGGGACCTCCTTCATCCCAGCAGTGGGTAAAGGCCCTGCAGCACGCCTGTGCTCTCTGCATCACGCAGCCAGAGGAGAGGCTCCCGTATGGGAGGTGGGGTGGGGTGAGGTGGGGTGGGGTGGGGTGGGCAGCAGCAGCACTGCCAGGACCACCCGTGGCACAAGGTGGCTCGGTTTGGTTTAGTCACCAGAGCTACAGGGATTTCTACCAGGGAAGAGCCTGACCTACACACCTCGTCAGGAGAGCCTTGCACTGGACATGCTGTGGATAGATGGGTCTCTTTGCAGGTGGTGACTGAAGATGGTCACTTACATGCCCTGTAAAGTCAAAGAAATACTGAGTATTATTACAGAGGTAGATGGTTTTGGTACAGAGGGACCTTTGTTCATCAGGTTTTTGCTCTGGGATTAGAAGCAGGTAATAGCATCTGGAAACTTAGGAAGACTCTTCGGTTCCCTCCAGCATCCTTCCAGCTACCACTTCCACTCTTTCAGTTTCTCTTGGGGTAACAATTGGTGGGGATCTTTGCCCCCATTCATATTCTCCCCCATGAGGTGCCCCGCAAAGTGCTGGCTCTCCCAGAGTCCGTCTATTCTTCCGCCACGGTTGCTCTCAGTGGATGAGTCTCCACCAGGAGATGAGCCGACACCAGTTCCTCCAACATAGCTCATTACCTTGCAATGACTAGCAGCTGCCAAGATATGCTGTTACTGAGATGCCTTAACTGTTACAAGAGAGTCCCGTTCTCCTGTTCAAGATCTGTCTCTATGTCTCAGTTAATTTCCTGACTAATTCTGTAGTTCTTCATCTAGTTGGATCGTCAGTCTTAGCTATTATCAGGCATTGCAAAAAGAATGACACTAAGTCCCTGAAGTGCCTGCAAATAAGAATGAATGTGTGCATGCATGCAACTTGGCAAGTAAATTTTTACAATATGAACGTATGTGTAGAACAGTCCGGCGGCTGGTGTGTGTTCCTTTGGTCTTTCTTTACATTTCTTTACACGTATGTGGTATGTCTGTAGCTGAAAATGTTAGATGATGTCAGCATCAGAAAGTGAAACTTATGCTCAGTATTTTTAATTGTAGTTTGCTAATAATTGGGTGGTGGTTTTGATTTTTTCCAGAGAGTCCTTTCCAATGATTTTGGTGGCGAACAAAGTTGATCTAATGCATTTACGGAAAATTACAAGAGAACAGGGAAGAGAAATGGCAACAAAACATAATGTAAGTTTGCGGGATTGTTTAATTGGTTGTTGTAAGTCCCATTATAGGCATTCAGAATTTAATTCCCTACTCATTTGGAGCTGAATTAAAGCATTTCTCTTATAATCAAACATTTGCAATTACAATTTCGACTACTACAGAGGAGTAGCTATACAGTTTCTTTTCAGTAGGGCCAATTCATCATTGAAACTAGAGCCTCTGCTGTACACCAGGCTGTAGCAAAGCTGTGGCCATCACAAAGCCACGTGTACAAGGTGTCTGCAAGTGGTGAGAAACGCGAAATGCTCAAAATGAGGGAAGAAAGTGCACCCTCCTGGAGTGAAAAGGCAGAGTCAGGCATTAGGAAGTATACCCAGGTGTCTGTAGGAAGTGAGCTTGTTAAAGATAATGAAGTTACAGAGCTGTTAAGCCTACATAAATCTGGCCCACCATCTTAGCTCTGCATTATTCATGCCATAGTTTAGCCTGAGAAATCAGTCTTGGATGAATATAGATGACGTGATACTCCACTAATCACCTCTAAATGCCAGCAGCCGTGAATACCCAGAGGGAGGCAACAGCTCCCGTCGGACGAACTGAATGGGAAGGTAAAGGCAAGCAAGCCTGAGACCTCATGGCACCTTGCTGTGCCTAAACAGCAAACCGGGGGGTGTTTCTGAAGAAGTCATGATGGGGGTTTGGGAGGGCAGGTTCACTCCCTCCCCTACCCAAGGAAGCTCGTTTCTGTAGGAGCCAGGACACCTAAACTGCAACATGTTGCACCCATCTGTACGCACACGCTTTGGAAAAGGCCGTGTACGAAAATACCTTATCAGAGGCAGTTTTATAAATCTGCCAGCATGCTGGACAAGCACTCTAGGAGGCCCCATCTGGCTGTCAGACTTTGAAGGAGAAGATCATTTTACACTGAAGGGGAATTGTAGTCATGAAATATTCATGCAGTAGTCCTAATAAAATGTGGCAAGCAAGAATTTTTGGCAAGTGCTCGTCTTTCAACAGCCTTCGGCTATTTTCATGTCTGCTAGCACAGGTTAGAGGGAGAGAACATCTAACAACATGAAGTCCATGATTATTCTTCCCCAAACCCAGAGCTCTGATAGCAGCTGGTTTGCCTGGTGCTTATTCCAGACCTTTTGTAAGCACTTGCTGACCTTGCTGCGAGCGTGAAGGTGTTGGTAGCAGTGTCATGACAACACTTGGTTTACCTGTATTTCCCTGGTCTCTTAGGCACCCGGTATCTCCAGCCCTTAGGGTTTTTCATTTTGAAACTGGTTTGCTACCAACACGTAGGCTGTTACTAATCTCTTTCATGATACGCTTCTGTCCTCCAGATTCCCTATATAGAAACTAGCGCCAAGGACCCACCTCTAAACGTTGACAAGGCCTTCCATGATCTGGTGAGGGTAATAAGGTAAGCTGCAAACTCTTCACTTGCTCACTGCCCATGGACAGGACGTGCAGGAGTCCTGGCCCGGAGAGCCAGGAGCCAACTTTTGAGGAGCAGGGGCCAGGTGTTTTGGTTGGGGGTGGGAGATTTCTGGGGTTTATTAAACTTTCTTGTCCTATGTCTGCGTAGGGATGTTACTAACATTTAGTTACCCTTGTAGGACATCATTGCTAAGCAGGTTGAGAACTAGCTGTGGCCATGACAAAAATACATTATTCAATGAATGGTGCAAAGCCTACTACAATGATAAGCTTTAAAAGGCCGGCGTTAAAAGCTTTGGACCAGTAATTTGGGTTTTCATAGCTTTGTCCTCTCAGGGTCTCGTGTTGCCAGAGGTTAAAAAAGGACTGGCAAAAAATTCTACAAAATTCTAGTGTTGTAGGTGACTTCTAACATTTTCTGCTCACTAAATGGAAAAAATTAAGCCGCTTTGTAGGAGAAACAGCATGACCTAATGGCTAAGCCACAGGTTTCCTCCTCAGACTGCAGAGGTTTGTTCCCGGTTTTGGCATGAGCTGCCTTGGCTCGCTTTGGCAAACGCCTGCTCTGCGGGCGAACCCCTGCTCCCGCTGCCGGCGGGGAGGGACTGCCTTCCAAAATCCCGGCTGCCCTGCAGGAAAAGAGCTGCACGCACATCTCGGCGTCTCGGCTGATAACCTCAAATCTCTCTGAAAAGATTTGTTTTTCTGGCACCGTTTGTCTGCCAGATTTTTCTGGGCCCTCATTTTTCATGTTTTGGGAGGGTGCTGAGCTGAAATCATGCTCCTCTCCGCCGTGCAGTCAAAGTGCCTCGCTCGGCAATTAAACCACGAGGCATTTATTCACAGCATATCTGTACTTGTGAATATCTTAGCGCAGCCTCGAGTCAGCCTCCATCAAAAGCAGATGGTGCTGCCCACTCTTCCCACATGTCTCAAAAGCAGGGGGCAGAAAGTCTTTGGAGAACTACAGAGCTGAGTTGGAAATGTCCCAAGCTATTTCCCAACTGTTCTGTAACTCAGCATTAGCTGGCTAGATATTACTTTTGTGTTACAGTGAGCTCTTAACCACCATCTATTCTACTCTGGGAGAAAAAAAACATAGCCAAAATAAGATGGTAAGGCTCTGTTTGTTTGCTTTCTCTACATAACGCAACTCCAGACAGGCTGGAAGGAGTGTTGTAATGAGACATCACTAAATTCAAGCCCTGAAAATGCACTCCATAACATCAAAAATAGGTGATGCACCTCAGTTCCCTCAGTAGTCACCATGAAAGTCATTGCCAGCCAGGTGAAACCCTCCGTGGCATCAAGGGCACCAGAGATGTTCACAAGAGCTGGAACTCGGGTTAAGTCAGAGAGCAGAGATGTGCTGTGTGATCTAGCTGGTCATTTGCCACAAAGCAGCTTTGCTTGGTCTTTGGACATTGCAAATTGTCCGCATCCATAGGATGGCATCACCCACCAAGTATTGCTTTTCTTTAAGTGAGCTTTTCCAAAGAAAATGGAAATTTACAGCCCCCTAATAACTGTGTCATTCCTGGAGTGCTTTACAAATGCAGAGGCTCCTCAGAGCCCGTGTGAGTTTGCAGGGTGAGGATGCTCGTTCAGGGTTGGCACTGTTTGTGCTCCTTGCACTTGGCCAATTCCCAGTTTATTTAGCTTCATGCAAGAAACTGTTGTCTGCAAGTTATTCAGAAAGGAGTCGGGTGATTGAGTCCGCCCAATAGGTCTTCTACATTTCCTGATATCCCTTTTATGCTGCAGCGGTGCGTACACAAGGACTGTCACAGCAGAAATCTTGAGCTGGCGCGGGACGTGGTTTTCTGGATCTCTAAAACAGTTCCAGAACGCTGTGAACAGCTTGCGACCGCTTAGTGTTTATCCAAATTAACTTTAAAGTATTTTTTTATTTCAGCTTTCTAGTTTTGAGCTTTATGGTTTTTATGCCTCCAGCCTTGATACTTGCTGGAAAAAAAATCTTATTAGTTAAAGCCCATTTTTTCAGGTGGTTGCAAGCATTTGGGAGCTGAGGCTATAAGAAAAACACCAAATGAAGCCGTAATGATTTGCCCCCCAGATATGTCTTATCCTGGTCTGGATAACTTGGTCTAAACACTCAGTTTAGTGCCTGGCATATTACATAGCAAAGAGGCTGGGTTTAAACTATTGGAACTCAGGTTGGTTATTTAGACACCGTTTGAATCAACGGAAGCTGACGGTGTTCGTGTGGTTTATCTTGCAATAAAATCTAAGTCTACAGGCTGCTTGTCGGGTGTTTGAGCTGCAAAGCCTTCTTCTGTTGAATTTGCACCACTGGGCTAGCAGAGTAGCTGTTGCAAACAGGTACAGTTGCAAACAGGCATTTTGGCAATGCCTCATCATTGTGAAAAGGGAGAAGCCCTCAACATAACATTTTAGAGGTTGCTGACAACCGATCTGACTGATGGGAGCTGCCGGGGCGCAGCGCACGCGAGCTCTCAGCTGCCTGTTTGACAGCTGTGACTTCAGGCAACCAGGGACATCTTTCTGGGGTCAGCTCGCTCTCCGTGCTCTGGTGCTCTTCGCAGCTTCCAGGGGAGGCCAGAGCCCTCTGTTTTTTCATTATTATTTTTTAGCCCCTCTCCATAACCAAGTCCACAGCAGTGCAGTTGGCTAAGGGCAATGCCAGCTGAAAGCCAATCTTGCCGGAAGGGTTTATTTCTCTGTGCAGTCTGTATCTCTTTCGCCCTCCTCCCTAACAAGCATTAGCAGCAGTGTGATGGATGATATTGCATTGCTTAGAGCATTCCTGTTTCCCAGAGCAGCCCCCTGGCAGGGGAGGAGGCAGCAGTTCACCCAGGGCAACTCGAGGCATAGTTCCCTAGCAGGACATATATCCCTGCTGTTAGCCTTAATGTTTGCTTATGGCTTCTTTCCTCCTTCCTTGAAAACACAGGCAGTTGTCTTGTTAGCTGTGTGACATGAAAAGCCACATGGTGGTGGAAGGGTATATGGAGATATATATGCAAATATGCATATGCACGCCAAGATGCTGTTCTGCTGGCTGCCCAGGGCTCTGGACGCTGATGTCCGACCCAGCCTTGTGTCTCACCTGCTTATTTTCCTTTCTGTCTCCCGAAACAGGCAACAGATCCCAGAGAAAAGCCAGAAAAAGAAGAAAAAGACCAAATGGCGAGGGGACAGAGCCACGGGCTCCCACAAACTCCAGTGTGTGATTTTGTGACGGGACTGCCTGGGAGTGCCTTGGACGCCTCCCTCCTCCCCCCTTGACCCACCGCCACCCCAGGCACGGAGCAGCAGTGCGATGCCCACACGGCCCTGCCGCCCCCTCGGGCTCCCCACGGCGCTCGGGCTCGGCGGAGGCGGCTCGATGGGGACCGGACCCCCCCGGAGGGGGGCTGCGCGTCGGGGCTGGCGTGGGAGCCGCGCAAACGGGAGGGGGAAGGGATCAGCAGGGCCCTGACTCTCGGA